TGGTGTGAATGCTAATATAGTTATCGTTATTGGTGTGAAAGCTAATATAGTCATTGTTATAGTTATCGTTATTGGTATGAACGCTAATATAATTTTTGTTATTAGTGTGAACACTAATATAGTAGTTATTTTTGATGTAAACGCTAATATAGTTATCGTTATTGTGTGAACGGTAATATAGTTACCGTTATTGGTGTGAACGGTAATATAGTTATCGTTATTGGTGTGAATGCTAATATAGTTATCGTTATTGGTGTGAACGCTAATATAGTTATCATTATGGTGTGAACGCTAATATAGTTATCGTTATTGGTGTGAAAGCTAATATAGTCATTGTTATAGTTATCGTTATGGTGTGAACGCTAATATAATTTTTGTTATTGGTGTGAATGCTAATATAGTTATCATTTTTGGTGTAAAAGCTAATATAGTTATCATTTTTGGTGTAAAAGCTAATATAGTTATCGTTATTGGTGTGAACGGGGCTTAATGCTACTACGTCAGCGCAGGTTGAGTGTATGTGGTCTGGTCCGTGTTCTGCTGATGCAGGTGTGTTGATCTGGTTTGTGGTCAGTAGCTTGGTCTGTCAGATGCTCTGGATCTTCTGATTCTCTGTGGATCTGTGATGCTGACGGGTTCTGTTGGGTCAGAGCTTCTGTCGGCTCTCTGCTTCCAGCTGGAGGAAACGCATCTGGATCCTGTCATGGAGTATTACAGCACGAGTGTGCTTTATAACCTGTGTGTGTGATAAATGATGCATCTCATGCTCAGTCTGAACATGAATGTCATTAATAATAAACATCCAGACGTTAGATAAACAATGGCTGTCAGAAGGCCTGAGTTTTTGTGCATTTTAGACCTCTTTTACTTTTTAAATTCTTGTTAGCATCAGGGTTATTATCGTTAACTAATTTTTTTCTCTCCTTGAAATAGAATAAATGTTAACTGAAATAAAATTTAATTTAATTAAAAAAAAGTTGCCAAGCAAAAGTTCTCATGTTTTTTTTTTAAGTTGAAGTAGTTAAAATAACTCAAACTTGATAAAAACGACATATAGACATATTTTAGAACTAATAAAATGAAAATAACACAGCAAAATTACTAAAACTTTAACTACAACTAAAATAAAAAAACACATATAACTGAAATCAAATCTAATTTACCTGCATATATATGTGCACAGTGTGTTTGCATATTAGTGCATATAATTATGAAATATAATTAATTATTCTAGTCATTTAATGAAAAACATGATTATATTTAACAAGTGCCACCTACATTGTTCACATTTTTAAAAGATTTTTATTTTTTGTTTGTAAAATTAATAATTTTATTTAGGAGGTATGTATCAGTGTTCTTTTAGCATAATTTTTTGTTAATAGTTTGAATTAGTTCTTATTTTTATATTTGTTTTAATTTTAATTTTAAATATGTACATAATAAATACATATAATATTAATAATATTTTTCATAGTTGCTTTGTTTTTAATTATTTTTTTAAGTACATCAAATTAAAGTAAATGAAAATCAGAAATGTTGCACTGGCAACTAGTT